AAGGATATGCTTATTATATTTCAATGGGTTGTAGGCAGAAGCAAGTACAAAATCTAGCTCTATTCCTATACCGACATTCAAGAATCTTGTAAATATAGAACACAATGTGCTATTTCATGTTTTTGTTTTGGGATAGTTATGTAAAACATATTTTACACATATTATCAAATAATGTAATTTTTATTTTTATATGAATTAGAATGTTTTTGAAGTTCAATCTTATTTTACTTTTCTCCAGCTCTAGGTTTTGTTAACATATAGCAATTTTTTTAATACTTCTATGTACAGCACAATGATTTCATGTATGTACTCATTGTGTTGTTATAAATGGATTTTTTCCCTTTGACTTCCTTTTGGGAAAAAAAAAAGTGGGATTTCAGAAGGCTGAGTGTAATGTTGACTACAATATAAGTAGTTTCTTGTTTACAAGTGAAATCTGTCTTAGTGTACTTCCAGTCTAGAGTTATCTACATTCTAATCTAAAGGAAGTGATGATTTCATTGAATATTTGGTTGTTTTTACTTCCCAGGAACCAAATGGTTCCATTTGAAAGTGGCTTCCCTAACCACTACTATTCAGGATTTCCTTTGTAGACATCTTTTCAAATATTAAGACCAAAATGTATAAATGTCTCACTTTGCCTTAAATCTATTGTTTTATTAATTGCATTCCTACTAAATTCCAATTTTATTGTTTTCTAAAGTCCTATTGTATTATCCATACAGTCACACAGTTAAAGAATATTTTAATATAAGCATGTCCACAGCACTAAAATATAAAATGCTGCAAATGTTATAACTTTTTTCCTTCAAGGCCAATGTAAGTCTTCTACAGAGCTAACAACTTCCAAGGTTATGAGAAAAAACTCTTAAGTTACATGACGAATGTAGTTCTATGCATATGTCTTGGCTTTTCTTATCTATGGAAGTGATTAGTAAAGTAAGTATTCTGGAAGTTATTGTATATTCCTGGTGAAAATATAAGATTCAGGCAAATGATTATTCAGAAACTTGAACATATGGAATGGTCATTCAAAATATGAGTGTGGTCACACATTATCATTTTCACAACTCTAATTGTGTGAGTTTGAAGGGAGGCCTCAGAAAGCAGAAAGACTAGGGTTCCTCACTTAGGCAATACCCTTGTATGTCCACCAGCAGTGACCATAAAAAAGGTTAAAATATGCTTGTCTCTCTCTAAAAACCTTCAAGAGTCTATGTACACACAACTGATCAAGAGGGCCTTTTGATTTTAAAAATAGAACTTACTTTGGTAAAATTGACATATAAAATGTGTACCAATCTAATGTATACAACCTGATAAGCTTGCGGGTAAGTATACATCCATGAAATAATCTCCATACTCTATATCATAAACATATCCATTACCTCCAACAATGTCCTATCTCAAAGGGAGACTTTTTCTATTCTAGAGAATTACAGTGGATGGATATGAGGAGACTGTTCAGGCACCAATAAATGCATAGGCTTAGACAATAATAAGAGTAAAGAGTTATGTGCTCATGATGAAGATCTGTGGAAAATCAAGATATAACAAAAAATGAGTTTGTGGTTGATACCAATAGTCATTTCTTTGAACTGAGATGACTACCTTACCTAGCTGTAAAAGTCCCATGACTAGGTAAAATGACATAAATATGTTTTGTGCCTCTTACAACAGTCACTAAAATTTTAGATGAAATAGTCAAGTATTGTGTATTAAATGTATTAATATAATTTATATTCTAAATGTAAATATCAACTAATTTAATATATATATAAATATCAGGTCACATATTGGCATTATAATGTATTCTGATAGATTTCTATTATTTCATGGTCATGATAGGCAAGAGACAACAATAATGAAAGTACTCCTAAAATTACCACCTCCCAAATTATTCAAGTTATATTCAAGTCTTCTCTACAGTCTCCCCTTCTATAAGCTTCTTCTACCATCATTTCTATTGATCAATTAAAATATGAATTCTACTTTCCTAAAAATAGTTCACAAGTATAATCCAATCATTTGAAAATTGCTTTCTAGCAAAAATGATATGAATAATCCATTTCATTTGTATCAAGTATTTCCATAGGATATTCTTGAGTGAACTTGAAGATATGGAATGTACTGTATCTGTAGAAAAAAACTGCAACAAATAATGAGTATATTCTACCCAGTTAAAAAAAGTTAAAGGGAAATTGGTCTGTTGAAAATTAGTTTGTGTAAAAGTAACCCAGCAAGGAAACTTGAAGGAACATGAAACAGCCCTTAGAACTTCTGCAAAAATATCAGCTTAAGGGAGACAGCAGCTCAGAGGGCAGGGGTGGAACTATGGCCTATACAGTTTTAGATTCCTGTGTTTATATAAATGTAATTGTATATTGTATTGGAAGAGTTTATATATGTGCCATAACTTGGAAACTTTATTAAGTTTTGCACAGTGAGTATTATCACATCTCTTGACTAGTTAACTGAGAGTCTGAAATTCTGTAATCTTCATTTCCATTACTATCATATTCATTTTAGTTGACTATTGACTGTTGATTAAATCTCTCTCTTTCTTTTTATAGATTTATTTATTTATTTATACAAGCACTGGGTACAGTCAGAAGAGCGGGAGGGTGAGAGAATTCACCAGAGCCAAAGAGGGGAACAGAACAGGCAGACTGATGAAATACACTGCTGAGGGGAGCAGTGGGCACAGCAGGAGAGGTCTGGCGCCATGTGGGACCCTCGCCGGTGGCCAGGGATCAAACTGGCACTGCAGAGGCTGTGGGCAGCTTCGCAGCCCAGCGCTCAACCGCTGCGCCACCAGGGGAGTCCCGGATTAAATCTCTTAAGTGATACAATGCTGAACTAGAGATGAAAATTTCATGATATTCTATGTAAAATTGCCTCTTTGCAATAAAGTTAGTAAAATAGCAGCAGCTTAGAAAATGAATGCTGGAGTGATCAGTGAGTGAGTTTTCAATAAATTTCCTCTTCCACTGTTTCAGCAATAAAAAAAGTTACCACTAGTGGTACCAGGATTTTCTTTCATAATTACGGTGGCTATTCTGTCATATCTTCACCTGTGTTAAATAACATAAGTTGTTCTATTTTTTTGATCATTTCATAGCCTTATCCACTCATCCTTCCAGATTCCATGTCAAACAATATATTGGATTAATTTGAATGAGCAATATTCAATCGCAATGGAAATGAGGAGAAAACTGCCAGAAATCAGAACCCCCTTCCCTGCCCACACACATTCACACAGCTTAGCAGACAGAAGCTTCCAGAAGTCTGGTAGGGGTAGAATCTGGATATCTGTTCCATCTACCTGTAACATTTACTTCAGTCAGAAAGGACTCTATATTTTACCCAGAAATATCATTCCTTTCCATAAAGTCCTGTTGATTTCTTCTGTTGCCCTATTGTAACTCAATTTGCACTGTCTACTCACAATAAAACTAATTTTTTTAAAAAGAGAAGATCAGCACTAGATATTCTTCAGGAATTTACTTTGACTATAATAAGACCCTTCAGAGGTGAAAGGGAGAAATAATGAAAATATTTCATGTAGAAGGATGGAAGATAAATCTCAGAATGAAGAAAATTTGCTACAATGGCTGATGGTTTTAAAACAGCTTATGAGACTAAATTATAGCTCTAGGACTAAAGGTTTTATTTAGAATCAGATAAGAACTATAATTCCCAGAAGGATAATTAAACATCATAACCTTCTACCTCCTTCTAGAGTATAAGGATTCTGTCTGGTTTTCCCTTGAGAAATACTCTAAGCAAAATTCAGGCCACATATTGGCATCACACTGTCTCCACAAGATTTTCAAATATCTCAAAGTGCTATGAACCTGAGAGAGATATCACAAATTGGAGTACAATAATCTTTATAATTATTTCTATGTTCTAAATTCATGCTGCTCTATGATTCCCATAAATATACATGGGAAGCTGTGAATTGTAGAAGGTTAGAGAAGGTTCCATGGAACCTGCTAAGGAAAAGCTGAGTTGGAAATAGTCCCTCAAACCAAGGTGATCCATCACAGAAGCAGGGCTGATAGATGCAAATGTGCGAGGATGGTAATATCCATAAACAGTTACTCATGAGCCCTTAAAATGTTTTAGAAAATACTTCAGTAGCTTGATATGAATATTTGATATGAATATTTCATATCAAATATGAAATTTTTCATTTCAGTAGCTTGATATGAATACTTTCATCTAATCATTATACTTTAGTGAAATACAAACTGTATTCTGAGTATATGGAGTCAGTATTTCTACATTTGTGATAATGGAACACTTGAGATCTTTTGAAAATGACTGTGAGGTCAATATTTTCTTTAAACCTAAAATATTAATTTTTAATCACACTTCTCCAGTCATTCAGGTCAGTGGGGTTTTCCAAAGTCCATAGCCACTGGGATATTTTAACACATTGGATGCAGATATAAAAGAAAAAATTATTTTCCAAAATACACATTCAAGAATTTTTCAAAAATGTAAAACTGCCATGGCTATAATAAATAGTGCTATAATGAAGAAAGAGATAATAAATTACATTAAATTTAGCAATTTTGTACTCTTCAGCTAGATAGCTAGAAGTGGGATGGGCATTAGCTCAACATTCAATTCTCCACTGAAAACATACAGGTAAAAAAATCCTATCAAAAACAGTTCAGCATCACTCAGCACAAGGGAAATGCAATCCAACGGACAATGATAAGCCACCTTACACCTGTAAGAATGGCTTATATTAAAAACAACAACAATAACAACAAATGATGGCAGGACTATTGAGAAAATGGAATCTTTGTATACTATGGTGGGAATGTAGACTGGTCCAGCAGCTATAGAAAGCAGTACAGAGGTGTCTGAAAATATTAAAAATAGATCTACCATATGACGCAATTCCAGTCCTAGATGGAATTTCATTTATTTCCCTTTCCCTTGGTGTTGAGTCCCCAAAGACATCCTTGAGGCCAATGTCATGGAATGTTGGTCTATATGTTTTCTTCTATATATTTTATGGCTTCAGGTCCTCCTTCCAAGTCTTTAACCCATTTTGAGCTTCCTGTAATACGAGATCATGGTCTAGTTTCATTCTGTTGAGATGAAACAGTCCAATTTCCACACCATTTGATGAAGAGACTTTTCTTTCTCCATTGTATGATCATTGATCTTGAGTTTCAGTGTGGCAGCAAGCGCATGTGAGCACTACCAACTATGTAAAATTCTACCCTCCTTCATGATGGCCTCTGTTTCTGCAATGCTCTCTTGAGGGCAGCCTTCACTTGAGCATTCCTCAGGCTGTAAACAAGGGGGTTCAGCAATGGGTTGAAGAGAACATAAAAAAGGGTCAGGACTTTCTTCTGCTCATCTCGGTGACCATTGTCTGGGACCAAGTAAATCATCATGGCAATGCCAAAGTAGAAGCCAACCACACAGAGGTGGGAGGAGCAGGTGGAGAAGGCCTTTCTGCGGCCCTCCTTTGACTTGATCTTCAGGATGGCCAAGCCGATATGCATGTAAGAGACCATCATCAAGGAAAGGGGTCCAAGTAAGATAAATGAACCAGAAGAAAGGACAAAAACTTTGTTGATCCAAGTGTCCCCACAGGCCACTTTGAGGAGAGCCAGGATTTCACAGAAAATGAAATTCACCTCCGGGGACCCACAGTAGGGTAATCTCAGAAAGAAAATTAGATTTCCTAAGGCCAGTAAAAAGCCACCTACCCAGGAAGTGATGGCCAGCACTGTGCACAGTCTCCAGGTCATGATGACGGTGTAGTGGAGAGGTTGGCAGATGGCCACGTACCTGTCATAGGACATTGCCACCAAAATCATACACTCGGTACAAGAAAAAGTCAAATACAAAAACAACTGTGCAGTACATGAACCATAGGAGATTGTTTTTTTGTGTTTCATTAGATTTTCCAGCAATTTGGGTAAATTGCTGGAAGAATAGGACATGTCAATGATGGCCAGATGAGAGAGGAAGAAGTACATGGGGGTGTGCAGTCTGACGTCCAGCCAGATGAGCCCCAAGATCATGCCATTTCCCAGCAGATTGGAGACATACAGCAGGGAGAAGACACAGAAGAGAAGCACTTCCATGTCTGCACTGAGTGGGAATCCCACCAGGATGAATTCAGGGAACCATGATTGATTAACCCCCATCCTTATTGACAGTTTGTCTGAGATTGAAATGCAATACAAAGATCAGAGCTGGAGGGCAATGAAAACTGGAGTTATCAATCTTGAAACGAGCTCGGAGAAAGCATACATGCATAGCTCTGCTTGACTGAGTATTTTCTTGGCTTTTTTTTTTCCATTTTATTATGAAGTAATTAGACTTTCAAATAAAAGAGCTATAAGGAAGTGTACTGAATGCATATCACCAAGTTATTTATTCTTGTTTCTTTTTCCATCTCTTTTCCCATGAGTGTATATACTTTTTGATGTTTCTATACACATATAGCTTATATTTTATTAAGCCATGTGAGTGCTGAAATAATGCCAATTTACCCTTACTTTGTTTTTTCAAACCATTCTATTCGCTATTCTATTCTCAGTATGATTATCCAATTTATAACATAAACATGATTCGCTATTGTAAATATGTTAATTTTCTACACTTTGATCCAGGTTATAACCTCATATCAAATTTCATTTCTTTTCCAAGCTAGGTACCCAAGAGCCAAAATCTTGAATGGTCACTGTTTGTTTTATACACACTCTCCCATTTTATGTCTTCGTTGATGAAGCATGTTGGAGCCAATAAAATAAATGTGACTTTGATTCACTTTGTTAATACTTGCACAGTATTACTTTGTCCCACTGTCCTCAAAGGTAAAATGGGTTGGTCGACCAATGTGGTTTCTCCAAAGATCTACACTGCAAAATCATTTATCTACACTCGTATCACTACATCCTGCTTCTATTTTAATGTGTCCTCCGCCAATCTAGTACTTACCCAGTTCAGCATGGAATCATCTAATTTCTCAACAGGTCTAATTCACATGGCGAATCATATTTTCAAAGCAATTGTCATATTTATCAAGAATTTTAATCATGTATATTTTTATCAAGATTATTATCATTGTTCAAATATCATCATGAAATGAGAGGCTATATCATTAGGTGTGCCAACTGTTCAAGGGATAGTGGATTCTTAAGATTCTTTAATCCTAATGCATCATTACACACATCTTTTGGAGAGACAAATCTAATTGACCAAATTAACATTAGTATCACCTTATGTCTTTGATATTATACAGCAGTTTGTTTGAAGGCAAATGTGTATTTATAATTTCAAATTCTTATGAATTATCTTTTTAAAATATATTACTGTTCTCTTTATATTCATATATGAGATTCTTTTACATTTTAAATTTATACATTCTAGTTTCAATGATCTCGTTCAATGTGTGGTTAATGTGGCACAAACCTCATATGAGATTTTGACATTATGTTTTCAAAAATAAATTGCAAAACATGAAATTCAACAAAAGCCTGTAGAGATATTATTACATTACATAATGTGTTGCATATGACTGATTTCCATATGACAAATGTTATAATTTTCATTAATTTCTATATGTAGTGTTCATTCTGTATTGTACTTTTATTTTCATACATAGAATTAGTAAAAATTTTATGAATAGTAGTTTTGTTTATTTCATTTAGAATCATATGTACATTTTTCATATCAAAAATTTCCTGACATGTTGGTGAATACTGTTAATTTATATAGTAACTTTGTATTGAGTTAATACATTGCTTTCCACTAGGTTATAGATAATGCAAAAGTGATTTAATGTCATGCGTTTATTTTTGTGTAACTTACATGAGTAAATTCCCAGATGGTATATAGTCAATTCTGTTCTTTGTCTTTCTGTATCCCCACTTTCTCCATCATCACCTCCATCACCATCATTGTTCTCAACCACATCCTCTTTTCTCTCTTCATAAAAACAAAAAAGCAAAATTCAATGATCATTGTAACTTCAGTAAATCACCTAGTGGGAGAGATCCCTAATTGACCAATCAAGGCTGTGTAACCTCAAGCTCATTTTCCTATGGGGTTTCCTACTTTAGCCTCTCGGTTTCTATCATTGTCACATTTGAACATTCTTTAATCAAACCTGAGAGAAAATTCACAACTTTCAGCTCATTGGTACCACTGCTTCATATTCAATATCAAGAAAATAAGAATACTCAACGGAACTTAATGACTTCACAAAGCTTAACTATGAACTGATTATAAAGTAAGTAGTTTCTCATTTACACGGCAAATACCAGGGTGCTGACAAGCTGGAGTTATCTACCCTCTAGTCTAAAGGAGCAGAGCACAACTTTATTTCTGCTGCCCATTTCCCCAAGAGTCCGTGTAAGAGTAGCTGTCCCTCCCTTACCACGCAGGATAGCCTCATAGACACCCTTTCACCCTGGAGGACCGAAAGATCCAAATACTCACATTGCAACATATCTATCATTTTTCCCCCTCAATTCCAGTTTGTGGCCCCAGACTTATTTCTGTTTCCCAGGAAAATAACGCCGAGGATGATGTAAGGACTACACCAACCATTCTGAGGGATGTCTTTGCACACACTGTTGTTACGACAGAAGAACATTTTATGTTTTCAACAGCACAGCTCTGAGATACAAAATATTGCATCCGACACGACTTTTATCCACAAGGCCAATACAAGTTTTAGAGCTAACAAATTCCAAGATAATAGATCAATCCCATGAAGGGAGATGAATATAGAATAATTCATAGGTCTTGAGATTCTTTCATGCTTATAAAGTAATATGAGAATATTCTGCAAATTATTATTTAACTTTGTGAAAATATCAAGTTCAATAAAATCAGCTTCTGAAGTTTGAAAATGCATAAGGGTCCCTCAAAATATGACTGTGGTCACTAGTCGCAATGTGTGAGCCGGACGGGGGTGCTCAGAGGGCAGGACACGGAGGGCGCCACCCTGGAGTGTCCCTCTGTGTCCACATATACTGCAGGAAGGAGGTCACAGCCTGTTTGTTCCTCTCTAAATACCATTAAAAGACTTTAATATTTAACATTTTCTTTTAATATTTAAATTTTTTAATATTTCATATTTCCCTTTAATATTAGGAAAGCTGACCTATACAAAGCTGTTATATTTAATCATATGAACTGACGAGCCTGGGGTAACACACACCAGAACATCCTCACATAATCACTCATAACCAGCTCCATCTTCTCCCAGCTTCCTGTCACCAAGAGGGTCATTTTCTACTCTCCCTAGAATAGATAAACATGAGGAGGCCTGTCAGGCATGAATTAAATGAATAAGAATCGACAACAAAGACAGTGAAAGGACTTACAAGTTCACTCTAAGGATCCATATAATCCCAGGGTAAAATAAAACATGAGCTGGGGTTTATAGCAAAGGTAGTGTTTTTGATCTGAATTGACTCCTTTGAGTGGTTATCAATTCCTGTGCCTGGTTGCTATGTCTCTACGATAGTCACTGAAGTTCTAGGTGAAACACGGCACTCAAGGAGCGTGTGCTAATGCACAGTAATAAATTCTACATGTAAATAGAGATATGCACACATAGATACAGACGGAAATGGATAGATGCCATTTTGGCATTTCAAAAAGTCCACTAGATTTTCAAATATCTCCTGTTGTAACTTGTCAGGGACAGCAACACAGCACACCGAATTTACAAGCTCCTAAAATTATTCCACTTTTATGGACTGAAGCTTCTCCACAGTCTCACACCCTATCAGCATCTTCTCTCTCTAGTTCCGATCTATTGTCCAAGTTGTGTTTATAATTTACTAGGGGAAAAGCTCCGATATTAGAATTCAATCACTGAATATGACTTTCTGTCAGGTAATCTTGAAGTGATGATTATGAAGAGTTTCAGGGAAATTGCTGTGGTGATAAATTCCTTATTTGGAAAGTAAAATAAACTCATAAAGGCCCTTCAAGGCACGTGCAAGGATACTTTTGAGCATTTTCAAAATATTCACCTGAGGGAGGCATCAATTGGGAGGGCAGTGGCCACTTAGTAAGAATGTCAGAAAAAACTGGAGAACAGTCTAAGATTCTACAAACATGATTGTATTTTGAAGGTTTATATAAGTTTATATCAAGTTGGTAACATTTTTCAACAACTATAAAATCTGTATGACAGAGGTGAAAGGGAATAATTACCTCTTTTTTGAGATTATTTACTAATGTCTGAGCAAATTCTCCATTACCATAACATTCATTTTCTTTAAATGTTTGCAAAAATAATCATGACAGATTAAAACTCCTAAGTCATGCAGCACAGGAATTGTGAAGAATGTCAAGATAGCCGACACAAAATGTCCCCTCCAAAGAGTCCTTACAATAGTAGCGGTTCAGCAATGAAGGTGTGTGGGTCAGTGATGCCATTCTCCTCTGCGGGGCTGGAACAGGAGCAGGGAGCTTATCTCTCTGCAGATCTAGTCAGTGGTATTGGCACTCACTGCATCCTGTGTTGTTGTAGGACAATCTCATAAATATCTGTAATTTCTGGGTCTAATAATTATTAAGATTTGGTGATAACCTGGGGAAGTTTCAATAAGAAATATCTATGTGACAAACTTATGTCTTAAACTATTTCCACAAGAAAAAGACTTCCCTGCTATGGTTACTAGAATTTTTTTCTTAGTAACTGAGGTTACTCTAGCAATGTCTTATCTGTATTAGGCAATATAATGTTCTTTGATTCCTTTGGCCATTTCAGAGCCTTATCCAGAGGAAATGCTTGCGTACGAGGCTTCTCATCCTTCCAGATGCCCTCGCCAACAATACACAGGAATCATTTCGGACACACACAACACCACACCCCTCAGGGAACAGAGCTGGGTTAGGGGTGAGATCTGAGGATTTATTCCATTACTCTGTGCAGTCTCATCAGGGAGATCAGTATGTTTCACCAAGGCTGTCATTCCCTCTACAAAGGCATGTCGGATTTTTTAGCCACTCTGCTCTATGGCAACTCCCTAAATTGAAAATCATCTCACATGAAAATAAATCAATATTTCATTAGGACATGGCACCTCTAAATCACATACAGTGGAGGAAAACAGCATTACCTCAATAAAAAAAATACAATAAAACAAGATGTCAGTACTGGATGTTGCTCAGGAACCTCCTTTCATTCAGATAAGACACTTCAGAAGTTCAGGACATAGACAATGAAGACACTGTAGCAGGCACCTGAGGATAAATGTCATTGACAAGATTTGCTACAGCTGATAAAGGCTGTCAACAAAGCATGAAGATCTAAATTATACCTCAAGGAGTAGAGTTTTATTTAGAATCAACTAAAAACTACAATTCCCTGAAGGAAAATTTGACATGATTCTTTCTCCCTTCCTCTTCCTAAAGTAGAAACAGATGCCTATCTCCTCTCTCTGGAGGAGATAGAGATTTTGCTTGCTTTTCCCTTGAGGAATATTCTACTCAGGCCACATATTGGCATCACAGATTTTCAATGCAGATTTTCAATGACTCGGGGCTACGAACCTGAGAGAGAAGTCACATATCAGAGTGTACAAGTCTTTCAAATTATTTCAGTTTTTATTTTCTTGCTGCTCTATGATCCTCATAAATATAGGTGAGAGGATATGACTTTGAGAAGGTTAGAGAAGGTCCCCATGGAACCAGCTAAGGGAAAAGTGAGTAGGAATTAGTCCCTCAAACCAAGGTGATCCGTGTCGGAAGCAGGGCTGATGAGGCAAATGAGCAAGGACTGTAATATCCATAAACAGCTACTCATGAGCCATCACAATGTTTTAGAAAAATACTTCAAATGCTTGATATGGACTATATGCTCCCATCTATTCATTATAATTTTAGTGATATAAGGACTGTATTCCAAGTAATGATGTCAATATTTCTTCATCTTTGATAATGGGACTCTTGAGATTTTTTGAAAGTGACTGTGAAGTCAATATTGACATTAAAATCTCAAATACTAATTTTTAATCACACTTATCCCATCATTAGGGTCATGGAGTTTTCCTATAGCCTTCGGGATTTTAACAGATTGGAGGCAGGTGTAAAAGCAAAATCCTATTTTCCAAGACCTACATTCAGAATTTCACAGAAACGTAAAACATAGCAGGATTTTCACTTTTTGGTCTTAGAGACTACAGCTATTTTAAACAAACCTGTTACATATAGTCTCTCTAATGAGATATTTATTTTTAAATGGATCGATAAATATTTTCAAGTGCCATTTTAGCTTCCTCTCTTTCATCTTTAGTTAGGTATTATTGACACACAATAATGTTTGTATATTTGAGGTGCACCATGATTTAATACACGTTTACACTGTGAAGTGATTGTCACAAAGTAATCAACACATGCATCATTTCTCATAGTTGTATTGTGTGAGTGTATGTGGGTATGCAGTAAACACTTGAAGTAGATGCTCAACAAATTTCCAGTATAGAATGTATCACTATGAGCTAGCATCACCATGCTCTACGTGACATACCTGGCACTTGTGCACATTCCAACTGAAAATTTGTCCCCTTTGACCAACCAAAAATGCATACATTTTTGAACATTCAAAGCCTCCCCTCAACAAGCCCAATAGATCATACCAAATAGTAACATTCTAATTTCAAATAGTAAGGAAACCATCATCTAATAGTCCAATTATAAGAGATACAGTACAGACTAATAATACAGTATTAGTCTTCCTTGTCTGGCTAATGTCATGTAGCATATGTCTTTCAGTTCAATCAGACTGTTGTAATTTAAACTATCTGTTGATTGTTGTTTCCTTTGAGAGGCATAACTTTTGAGTTTGATATAGTTCCCTATGTCTAATTTTGCATTTGTTTGCCTGCGCTTTCTTTGTCAGATTCAAGCGACTATGGACAAATGCAATGTCATGAAGGTTTTCCCCTGTTTTCTTCTAGGAATTTTATGGCTTCAGGTGTTCTATTTAGGTCTTTCGTCCATGGTCAGTTAGGGATTCTGATCGGCCATCTTGTTGATGGTACTTAGATAACTCTCCTCTTAAATGTGTCTCTATGGGGGAATTTCTGTTTCATTCCCTCTTATAGTGTCACCAACTTCACATTTTATAAAATTCAATTACTTTTTATTGAAGCTACTTTGGTTTACAACACTGCATAGGACTTGGAGGTACAGGCGCACAACTCTTCAGATGGATGTTACTACGCCATGTCCAACATCAAAGCACCCACAATCCTCCATCATAATCCATTGCCTCCCCCACTTTCCTTGGCTTCCTACTATCTCCTGCTGATCGCCTCAATTCTACAGTATGATTCCTAGGGTTGGAATTGCCTTAGTTTTGTCAGTCCCTTTTTTGTTTCTCTGTGTTCTACATATGAGTGAAATCATCTATCAATAGTATTTACCTTTTTCTGTTGACATATCTTACTCAGCATCATGTCCCCCAGCAATTCCATCCTTTGTGACAATGGGCAAGTGTTCATCTTCTTGTATAGTTGAGTGGTAACCGCAGCACATCTCTACCACACTTTTGAAAAACTGCTCAGTCAATGGGCTTTTAGGATATTCCCATAACATGACTATAATAAATAGTGCTATAATGAATGGGGGAGGTAATTCAGTCCTTAGAATCACTGATTTTGCATTCTGCAGAGAGCTACCTAGACATGGGATGGACAAAGAGCTAAACAGACAATTCTCCACAGAAGACATACTTGGTGACAAACAGCCACATTAAAAAATGGTTAACATCACTCATCACAAGGAAGATACAATGAAAAGGACAATGATAAGTCAACTTACACCTGTGAGAACAGCCTATATTAAAAAAAACACCAAAACAAAATAGTTGCAGGACTATTGAGAAAATGGAATTTTGTACACTGTTGGTGGCAATGTACATTGGTCCAACAGCTATGGAAATCCGTATGGAGGTTTCTAAAGATATTAAAAATAGTTTATAACATGATTCAGAAATTCCAATCCTTGGTGAAATTACTTTTATTTCCCTTGCCCTTGGTGTTGAGTCCCCAAACACAATCTTGAAGCCAGTGCCATAGAATTCCAAGAATGTCTGCCTATGTATGTTTCCTTCTATATATTTTATGGTTTCTGGACTTTCATCAAAGTCTTTAATCATTTTGAGTATGCTAAATGGTATGAGATAGCAGTCTAGTTTCATTTGTTGAGATGGAACTGTCCAATTTCTCCAATACCATTTGATGAAGAGACTTTTCTTTTTCCATTGCATGCTCTTTGATCTGAGTTCGGTATACCAGGAAGAACATATGTGAGACTACCAACTGCATAAAATTCCACCCGCCTCATAATGCCCTCTGTTTCTGCAATGCTCTCTTGAGGGCGGCCTTTACTTGAGCATTCCTCAGACTGTAAACGAGGGGGTTCAGCAATGGGTTGAAGAGGACATAAAAAAGTGTCAGGACTTTCTTCTGCTCATCTCGGTGACCATTGTCTGGGACTACGTAAATCATCATGGCAATGTCAAAGTAGAAGCCAATCACACAGAGGTGGGAGGAGCAGGTGGAGAAGGCCTTTCTGCGGCCCTCCTTTGACTTGATCTTCAGGATGGCCAAGACGATACGCATGTAAGAGACCACCATCAAGGAAAGGGGCCCCACTAGGATAAATGCACCAGAAAAAAGGACAAAAACTTTGTTAATCCAAGTGTCCCCACAGGCCACTTTGAGGAGAGCTTGGAGTTCACAGAAGATGGAATTCACCTCCTGGGAACCACAGTAGGGCAATCTCAGAAAGAAAATTAGATTTCCTAAGGCCAGTAAAGAGCCACATATCCAGGAGGTGATGGCCAGCACCATGCACAGTCTCCAGGTCATGATGACTGTGTAGTGGAGAGGATGGCAGATGGCCACGTACCTGTCATAGGACATCACCACCAAAATCATGCACTCGGTACAACCACAAGTCAAATACAAATATAACTGTGCATTACATGTAACATAGGAGATCGTTTTTTTGTGTTTCATTAGATTTTGCAGCAATTTGGGTAAATTGCTGGAGGCGTAGGCTATGTCAAGGATGGCCAGATGAGAGAGGAAGAAGTACATGGGGGTGTGCAGTCTGACATCCAGCCAGATGAGCCCCAAGATCATGCCATTTGCCAGCAGATTGGAGACATACAGCAGGGAGAAGACACAGCAGAGGAGAATTTCCTTCTGTGCACTGAGTGGGAATCCCACCAGGATGATTTCCGGGAACCATGATTGATTAACCCCCATCCTTATGGACAGTTTGTCTGAGATTGAAATGCAATACAAAGACCAGAGCTGGAGGGCAATGAAAACTGGAGTTATCAATCTTGAAGTGATCTTGGAGAAAGCATACATGCTTATCTCTGCTTGACTGAGTATTTTCTTTGCTTTTTGTTTTTTTTTCCCATTTCATTATGAAGTAATTAGATTTTCCAATGAAATTAAGACCTATAAGCAAGAGTACTGGATGCATATCAACAAATTATTTATTCTTGTTTCTTTTTCCATCTCTTTTCCCATGAGTGTATATACTTTTTGATGTTTCTATACACATATAGCTTATATTTTATTAAATCATGTGAGTGCTGAAATAATGCCAACTTACCTTTACTTTGTTTTTTCAAGAACAATTCTATTCGCTATTCTATTCCCAGTAGGATTATCCAGTATATAACATAAACATGATTCGCTATGGAAAATATCTTAATTTTCTACACTTTGATCCAGGTTATAACCTCATACCAAATTTCATTTCTTTTCTAATCTAAGTACCCAAAGGCAAAATTTTGAATGGTCACTGTTGGTTTTATACATACTCTCCCATTTTATATCTTCCTTGATGAAGCATGTTGGAACCAATAACATAAATGTGACTTTCATTCACTTCATTAACACTTGGATTATTCTGTCTCACTGTCCTCAAAGGTAAAATGGGTTGGTCGACCAATGTAGTTTCTCCAAAGATCTACACTGCAAAATCATTTATCCACACTCGCATCACTACCTCCTGCTTGTACTTTAATGTGTCCTCCGCCAATCTAGTACTTACCCAGTTCAGCATGGAATCAGCTAATTTCTCAACAGGTCTAATTCACATGGTGAACTGTATTTTCAAAGCGATTATCATATTTAACAAGAAGTTTAATCATGTAAATTTTAATCAAGATTGTTATCATTGTTCAAATATCATCATGAAATAGACAGGATATATCATTAGGTGTACAAACTGTTCAAGGGATAGTGGATTCTTAAGATTCTTTAATCCTAATGCATCATTACACACATCTTTTGGAGAGACAAATCTAATTTACCAAATTAACATTAGTATCAGCCTACATCTTTGATATTATACAGCAGTTTGTTTGAAGGCAAATGTGTATTTATAATTTCAAATTCTTATGAATTATCTTTTTAAGTATATTATTGTTCTCTTTGTATTAATATAAGAGATTCTTTTACATTTAAAAGTTACACTATCTAGGTTCAATAATCTTGTTCAAAGTGTGGGTAATGTGGCACATACCTCATTGAGATTTGACATTATGTTTTCAAAAATAAATTTCAAACATGAAATTCAAAAAAAGCCTGAAGAGATATTATTACATTACATAATACATTGTATATGACTGATTTCCATGACAGATGGTGATAATTTTCAATAATTTCTATATACAGTTTTCATTCTGTATTGTACTTTTATTTTCATATATATAATTAGTAAAAATTTTATGAATAGTAGTTTTGTTCATTTCATTTAGAATCATATGTACAATTTCATATCAAAATGTTTTCCTCACATATTGGTGAATACTGTTAATTTATATACTAACTTTGTATTGAGTCAGTACATTGTTTTCCACTAGGTTGTATATAATGCAAAAGTGATTAAATGTCATGCAATTATTTTTGTGTAACTTATATGAGTAAATTCCCAGATGGTATATAGTCAATTCTATTCTTTGTCTTTCTATATCCCCTCTTTCTCCATCATCACCTCCATCACCATCATTATTCTCAACCACATCCTCTTTTCTCTCTTCATAAAAACAAACAAGCAAAATTCAATGATCATTGTAACTACAGTAAATCACCTAGTGGGAAAGATCCCTAATTTACCAATCAAGGCTGTGTAACCTCAAGCTCATTTTCCTATGGCATTTCCTACTTTAGTCTCTCAGTTTCTATCATTTTGTCACATTTGAACATTCTTTAATCAAACCTGAGAGAAAATTCACAACTTTCAGCTTATTGGTACCACTGCTTCATATTCAATATCAAGAAAATAAGAATACTCAATGGAACTCAATGACTTCACAAAGCTTAACTATGAACTGATTATAAAGTAAGTAGTTTCTCATTTACATGGCAAATACCAGGGTGCTGACAAGCTGAAGTTACCTACCATGTAGTCTAAAGGAGCAGAGCACAACTTTATGGAGTGACTCCCTGTATTTCTGCTGCCCATTTCCACAAGTATCCGTGTAGGAGTAGCTGTCCCACCCTTACCATTCAGGATAGCCTCATAGACACCCTTTTACCCATGAAGACCAAAAGATCCAAATACTCACATAGCAACAAACTATCATTTTCCCCCCTCAATTCCAGTTTTTGGCCCCAGAGTTATTTCTGTTTCCCAGGAATATAACGCCGGGGAAGATGTAAGGACTACACCAACCATTCTGAGGGATGTCTTTGTACACACAGCAGTCACGACTAAAGAAAATTTTATATTTTCAACAGCACAGCTCTGAGATACAAAATGTTACATCCGACATGATCTTTATCCACAAGGCCAATACAAGTTTTAGAGCTAACAAATTCCAAGATAATAGGTCACTCCCTTAAAGGGAGATGAATATAGAATAATTCATAGGTCTTGAGATTCTTTCATGCTTATAAAGTAATATGAGAATAAATATTCTGCAAATTATTATTTAACTCTGTGAAAATATCAGGTTCAATAAAAGCCACTTCTGAAGTTTGAAAATGCATAAGGGTCCCTCAAAATACACCTGTGGTCACCAGTCTCACTGTGTGAGCTGGACGGGGGTGCTCAGCGGACAGGACACTGAGGGCTCCACCCTGGAGTGGCCCTCTGTGTCCACAGATACCACAGGAAGGAGGTAACAGCCTTCTTGTTCTTCTCTAAATACCATTAAAAGACTTTAATATTCAACATTTTCTTTTAATATTTAAAATTTTTAAAATATTTCATATTTCCCTTTAATATTAGGAAAACTGACCTATAAAAAGCTGTCACATATTTAATCATATGACCTGAAGAGCCTGGACACACACCAGGACATCCTCACATAATCACTCATAACCATCTCTAGTATCTCCCAGCTTCCTGTCATGAAGAGTGTCATTTTCTACTCTCCCTAGAATAGATAAACATGAGGAGGCCTGTCAGGCATGAATTAAATGAATAAGAATTAACAACAAAAACAGTAAAAGGACCACAACCTCACTACAAAGATACATGTAATCCCCAGGGTAAAAAAAAAAAAGTATGAGCTGGGGTTGATACAAAAGGTCCTTTCTATGATTGACATGACTCCTTGGTTGGCTGTAGAGGTCCTGTGATGGATGCTATGTCTCTACTGTCTCTACGATGATGACTGACATTCTAGGTGAAACAAGGCACTCAAGGAGCATGTGCTAATGCATGAATAAATAATTCTAAATATAGATAGATATGCACACATATATACAGACAGATATGGATAGATGTCACGTTGGCATTTCACAGTCTCCACTGGATTTCAAATATCTCCTGTTGTAACCTGGCAGAGATAGCAACACTGCACACCTGAACTTACAAGCTCCTAAATCTATTCCACTTTTATGAACTGAAGTATCACTACAGGCTCATGCTCCATAAGCATGTTCTATCATTAGTTTCTATCTATTGTCAAAGCTGTGAATTATAATTTACAAGGAAAAAAGTTCACAATTAAATTTAATCCCTGAGTATGACTTTCTTTTAGGAAATGCTGAGTAATACATGTAATTTAAATATGATGCTTCTTTGGGGTATAGCTGAATGTGCTTGACGATATGGAGGATCTATTTGTAGAGAAAATGGCAACATAAAAATGAACTAATGTCTTACACCCGTTTGAAGTGATGATTATGAGGAGTTTCAGGGAAATTGCTTTGGTCATAAATTCCTTATTTGGAAAGTAAAATAAACTCTTAAAGGCCATTCAAGGCACATGCAAGGACACTTCTGAATATTTTCAAAATATTCACCTGAGGGAGGCATCAATTGGGAGGGCAGTGGCCACTTAGTAAAAATGTCAGAAAAAAATTGGAGAAAAGTCCTAGATTCTACAAACATGACTGTATTTTGAAGGATTATATAAGTTTGCATAAAGTTGGTAACATTTTTCTACAACTATAACATCTGTATTACAGAGGTGAAAGGGAATAATTGCCTCTTTGTTGAGATTATTTACTAATGTCTGAACAAACGGTCATCTTCTCCATTACCATTACATTCATTTTCCTTAAATGTTTTCAAAAACAGTCATAATGGCAGATTAAAACTCTTAAGTCATGAGCCCAGAAGTTGTGAAAAATATCAATATAGCCGACATAAAATGTCCCCTCCCAACAGAGTCCTTACAATAAAAGAGTTTCAGCAACGAAGGTGTGTGGGTCAGTGATGCCATTCTCCCCTGCGGGGATGGAACAGGAGCAGGGAGCTTATCTCTCTGCAGCTCTAGTCAGTGGTATCAGCACTCACTGCATCCTGTGTTGTTGTAGGACAATTTGATAAATATCTGTAATTTCTGGGTCTGATAATTATTAAGAATTGGTGATAACCTGGGGAAGTTTCAATAAGAAATATCTATATCTATGTGACAAACTTACTTCTTAAACTTTTTCCAAAAGAAAAAGACTTCCCTGGTATGGTTACTAGGATTTTCTTTCTAGTAACTGAGGTTATTCTAGCAATGTCTTCTCTGTGTTAGGCAATTTAAGATTCTTTGATTCTTTTGAGAATCAAAGGATTTTAGAGCTTTATCCAGAGGAACTTCTTGCATATAAGGCTTCTCATCCTTCTAGATGCCCTTGCCAAAAATACACTGGAATCATTTGAATGACCAGCCCTCAACCATACTGGGAGATGATGATGAGAAAACTGCCAAAATATCAGAAACACACCACCACACACATACCATCACCACACACCTCAGAGGACAGAAGTTTCCAAAGCTGGGTTAGGGGTGAAATCTGAG